TGGGACACACGGACACACTGGGACACACTGGACACACTCACTGGGACACACTGGGACACACTGGGACACACTGGGACACACTGACACACTGGACACACTGGGACACACTGGGACACACTGGGACACTGGGACACTGGGACACACTGGGACACGCTGGGACACACTGGGACACACTGGGACACACTCGGACACACTGGGGACACACTGGGACACACTGGGACACACTGGACACACTGGGACACACTGGGACACACTGGGACAACACTGGGACACACTGGACACACTGGACACACTGGACACTGGGACACACTGGGACACACGGACACACTGGGACACACTGGGACACACTCGGGGGACACACACACTGGGACACACTGGGACACACTGGGACACACTGGACACACTGGGACACACTCGGACACACTGGACAACACTGGGACACACTCGGACACACTGGGACACACACGACACACTGGGACACACTGGACACACTGGGACACACTGGGACACACTGGACACACTGGGACACACTGGACACACTGGGACACACTGGGACACACTGGGACACACTGGGACACACTGGGACACACTGGGACACACTCGGACACACTGGGACACACTGGGACACACTGGGACACACTGGGACACACGGACTCACTGGGACACACTGGACACACTGGGACACACTCGGACACACTGGGACACACTGGGACACACTGGGACACACTCGGACACACTGGGACACACTGGGACACACACAGGGACACACTGGGACACACTGGGACACACACTCACTCGGACACACTGGGACACACTGGGACACACTGGGACACACTGGGACACACTCTGGGACACACTGGGACACACTGGGACACACTCACGGACACACTGGACACACTCGGACACACTGGGACACACTGGGACACACTGGGACACTCACTGGGACACACTGGGACACACACACCACTGGGACACACTGGGACACACTGGGACACACTGGGACACACTGGGACACACTGGGAGACACACTGGGACACACTGGGACACACTGGGACACACTGGGACACACTGGGACACACTGGGACACACTGGGACACACTGGGACACACTGGGACACACTGGGACACTGGGACACACTGGGACACACTGGGACACACTGGGACACACTCGGACACACACACTGGGACACACTGGACACACACTGGGACACTGGGACACACTGGACACACTGGGACACACTGGGACACACTGGGACACACTGGGACACACTGGGACACACTGGGAGACACTGGGAGACACTGGGACACACTCTGGGACACACTGGGACACACTGGGACACACTGGGACACACTGGGACACACTGGGGACACACACTCGGACACACTGGGACACACACGGACACACGGACACACTGGGACACACTGGGACACACTCGGACACACTCGGACACACTGGGACACACTGGGACACACACTGGGACACACTGACACACTGGGACACACTGGGACACACTGGGACACACTGGGACACACTGGGACACACTCGGACACACTGGGAACACTGGACACACTCGGACACACTGGGACACACTGGGACACACTCGGACACACTGGGACACACTGGGACACACTGGGACACACTGGGACACACTGGGACACACTGGGACACACTCGGACACACTCGGACACACTGGGACACACTGGGACACACTGGGACACACGCTGGGACACACTGGGACACACTGGGACACGCTGGGACACACTGGGACACACTGGGACACACTGGGACACACTCGGACACACTCGGACACACTGGACACACTGGGACACACTGGGACACTGGGACACACTGGGACACACTGGGACACACGGACACACTGGGACACACTGGGACACACTGGGACACACTGGGACACACTGGGACACACTGGACACACTGGGGGACACACTGGGACACACTTCGGACACACTGGGACACACTGGGACACACTCGGACACACTGGGACACACTGGGACACACTGGGACACACTCGGACACACTGGGGACACACTGGGACACACGGACACACTGGGGGACACACTGGGACACACTCTGGGACACACTGGGACACACTGGACACACTGGGACACACTCGGACACACGGACACACTGGGACACACTGGACACACTGGACACACTGGGACACACTGGGACACACTCTGGGACACACTCGGACACACACTGGGACACACTGGGACACACTGGGACACACTGGGACACACTCGGACACACTGGGACACACTGGGACACACTGGGACACACTGGGACACACTGGGACACACTGGACACACTGGACACACTGGGACACACTCGGACACACTGGGACACACTGGGACACACTGGGACACACTCGGACACACTGGGACACGGCGGCGCTGGAGCAGGTGGTGACATTGTGTGATTGGCGTCATTATGTGTGATTATCACTGCTGTTTGTGAGTGACGTCCTCTCTGTGCCCGCAGCCTACCGCTGCTACGCTCATTATCTGAAGATCGAGGTGAGCCAGTCCCACCCGGTGATGAAGGCCTTCTGCGGGCTGCTGCTGCAGAGCGGGGGCCCGGACGGCGCCGCGCTCAGGCCCAGAGACGCAGAGGAAGGTTTGTACTGCGGGGTTTTCAGATTCTACAAAGTGATCGTGTCAGGGGCAAAGTGAAATGTGATCCTGTTGATCCAAAAGGTAAATTCACAGTTGTTGAACCTGGTATTTTCAGTAAGAATGTAACAAAAAACGTAATATCGTGATATCGTATCGTCAAAGTTTTCACAATAATATCGTGGATCATCACAATATATCGAAGCACAAGTCTCTTTGTTTAAGTAAAATGAGTTATGGTGCAGTAACAGATAAAAAAAACACAGAGGGAACTACATAGACCATGATCCTTTGCTCCATTTCAGTGCAGACGACAAGAAGAAATAACAGTTCTAACACTTTTAAGTCTTAGTTCTTTGGATTAAGTCTTGTTAAGGCATTTTAAGAGGAAAAAGTCGCACATTAACAAAATATCGTAATAAATATCGTACCGTGAGATGTTTATCATGAAAATATCGTACCGAGAGATTTGGATATTGTTACATCCCTAATCGTGAGCCTCGCCTCCATATCATGAGCTTTACCACAATATCACAATAAATATCGTACCGTGAGGTTCATACTGTGGCGATATCGTATCGTGAGACTTGGATATCGTTACACCCTAGACTGGTGCATGTCAATGGCCGTAGTTGTCCTGCCACTAAAAACAGTCTTACCCACTCCACAAAACACCTGAAGGAATGTAGTTAATATGATTAAGTGAGATTCAGGAGCTGGACCACACCTCAGCCGCCCTCTCCTCTCACCAGCGAACCACAACTCACCTCGACCACGCCTCTAATTTCCCATCATCCCAGTTTGTCTCGGCGAACTTGACCCCACCCTCCCATTTCCTATTTTGTCGGTATTTCAGTCATAAGACGCCTACGGGGGGGGGGTCCCGTTCCGGCTGGGCCAATTGAAGACCAAAAAACACACATGAACATACAGGCCTCGTTTATGAACTCTCTCTCAAATAAAACTCTCTGCTTCATGTCATTTTTATCATATTTAAACGATGCTTGTCAGTCTTTTCTCTTCCGTAGACTTTTCGGTTTCATTTGGACTTTTGGACACGATTGTTCTGATTCTGATTCTCCAGTGTCACGACGAGGAACCCGCTGCATTTCACTCACACACAATAAAACAATAAAACACTAACACAGAAAAAGAATAAAACAGTAAAACAGTGTTGAGTGTTTGGGAGTAACGCGTTGTAAAAGTAATGAGTTACTGTGGTGCGATGTTTTTTTGCTGTAACGCAGTAACGTGGTCAGATTTTACTGTACAAGTGTGAGGAACGCGCGTCACGTTTGCGGTTTTAACCTGGACTCAAGTTGGGGGTTTTTCTGTTTTTTTTCTTCAAATAAATTCGCAAAAATCACGGTGAGATCAACAGCGGAGAAACGACATCGGTACGGTTCCGAGTGTCTGTTTCAGTTCTGGTTTAGACCTGCGCCAGTCCTGGTTTAGTCCTGGTTTTTAGTCCTGGTTCAGTTCTGGTTTAGACCTGGTTTACTCCTTGGTTAGACCTGGTTTAGTCCTGGTTCAGTTCTGGTTTAGACTTGGTTTAATCCTGGTTTAGTCCTGGTTCTAGTCCTGGTCTAGTCCTGGTCTAGTCCTGGTTTAGTCCTGGTTTAGTCCTGGTTTAGTCCTGGTTTAGTCCTGGTTCAGTTCTGGTTTAGACTTGGTTTAATCCTAGTTTAGTCCTGGTCTAGTCCTGGTTTAGTCCTGGTCTAGTCCTGGTTTAGTCCTGGTTTAGACCTGGTTTACTCCTTGGTTAGACCTGGTTTAGTCCTGGTTTAGACCTGGTTTAGTCCTGGTTTAGTCCTGGTTCAGTTCTGGTTTAGACTTGGTTTAATCCTGGTTTAGTCCTGGTTTAGTCCTGGTTTAGACCTGGTTTACTCCTTGGTTAGACCTGGTTTAGTCCTGGTCTTACATTTTAAACACAGTAATATTGTAATATAACGAATTACTTTGAAATTACAGTAAAAGTAAAAAAATAAATAACATATTACAGTTTTGAAGTAACTTGCCCAACACTGACACAGTAACACATATCAGATTGAGACGGAGCCCCCACCCCGAGTCTCAACCAGCATCTCTGCCTCGCGTCGTACATTATCAATAAACTTCTTCGCACTATGTCGTTGTTGGTGTGGTCCTGGCTAGTGAAAATCTATTATTACAAAAGACTGTTTGTGCTGATAGAATAAATTTTAGAAGTAAAACCAACGTTGCGTTTGAACGGATTTATGTCCGAGCAGCAGTGAGTTGTTCTTCCTGATAAAAAGCTCAGCAGCGGCGGACTGATATATGAGAAAATAGTCCCTCAACATTTAACGAGGGCCCCTGAACCTGGAGGGGCCCCCAACCAATTCCCCTCAGTGCCACTAATGGCCGAGGCCTGAGAGTAATTTGATTTTCTCTCAGTATGACATTAAATGAGAAGAGTTTTACTTTTAAACAAGAAAACACCGTCAGTATAGAATCTGATTGTCAAATCTATTTAAACTGTCAAAGCATTCGCCCCTTTTATGCTAGAACTATGTTAGACGAGTCAGTTTGACCTTGATTTGAATAACTTTAGCAGAATCACAATCATATATAATGGATGTAAACAAAAATGTAATTGTACCAGCAAAAAAATAAAACTACTTTCACTTCTGGTTTTCTAGTTTAGAAAACCACTGAACTAATAAGACGAGTTTCCAATCCACCATAATTTAAATAAAGACGTGCGTGTCTCAGTGGGAAACAATGGGAAAAACAGACAATAAATAAAAACAAAACAAAACAAAAAAAAAAAACATAACAAAACAGTGCCTTATAGTGAGGGCCCCAAACTTAAGTTCACCTAGGGCCCCCACATTGCTGACTCCGGCACTGTTTAAGACATTATTCTATCAACACAGACATTCACATGGACAGTCTGGTGTAATAATAGATTTTCTTCGGGTGTTTTGTGGAGTGGGTAAGACTAAGAATATTTTAAAAAGTGTCTTCACACGTCTCCAACACTCTGGACCACGAGGAAATGAAGCTCTGTGTCCAAAATTCCAAACCGTTCCCTTCTGTATTAGATCATTTTGGCCGATAGAACGTTGTGATGTCCTCTGAATCCGAGCAATATCCACAAGGCTGGTTTATACTGCGGCTGTAACGCACAAGGTTAAAGACTAATCAGATCTGAGCGGTGGCGAGCACGCGGGGAATAAAGACTGAGGGAGCGACTCAACGTGTCAGGAGAGAATGAGCTGCTGCTGTCAATCAAGAACTCTCCATGACAACGACAAGAGGGACTTTAGAATGACACGCACACAGACATACACACATTCATAAACACACACACATACAGACACACACACATACACACACACACACACATATACACACACACACACATACACAAAGACAGACACATAGACACACACACACACACATAGACACACACACACACACATAGACACACACACATAGACACACACACACACACACACACACATACAGACACACACATACATAGACACACACACACACACACATACAGACACACACATACATAGACACACACACAGACACATACACACACACTGACACATACACACACACACAGACACACAGACACACACACACACACACACACATACAGACACACGTACAGACACACACACACACACACATAGACACACACACACACACACACATAAGCAGAGAAAACATTCATCTGGTGTGTGCGCGCGTGTGCGTCCCTGTGCGTCACCGCAGTTGAGTCGTGCGCTTTTACGCACAGACGCGCACTGTAACAGAACTTTATATCAGAACATGATGTGAGACTGAAGCTCTGAGAGAAACAGGTGATCTGATCCACGTGCACGAGCCCCACGGGGACGCGCCTTACACTAATTATTATTATTATTATTAGTAGTAGTAGTAGTAGTAGTAGTAGTAGTAGTAGTATTCTGCTCTCGGTGTGTGCGTCACTTCCACGCCGCTCACGTTCGTGTTTGGTTTTGTTGTTTTTGTTTTTTTTTCTCTCGTGTGTGTGACATGTGTGTGTGACATGTGTGCGCAGGGATCCAGCTCGTGCAGAAGGAGAAGAAAGTGCACAAAGTGTCGAGCGCCAAACGAGCGCGCGGCCGCTGGCAGCTCCTCTACACGCTGGTGAACAACCCCGCGCTGGTGGGCACGAGGAAGCACTTCCGGCGGCAGAGCGCGGGAGGAGGAGGGGGCAGCTTCGTGAACGGCAGCCTCAAGAAGAGCACCAAGGCCGGAGGGGGCGGGAGCCTGAAGGACGCGGCGGGGGGGAGCGCAGCGAGCAACTAACACCCCGAGAAAAAAACAAAAAAACAAAAACAAAAAAACACACAAACTGGAACACGCACCAAAATATAAAACAAAAAAAAACACAATGAACATACAGGCCTCGTTTATGAACTCTCTCTCAAATAAAACTCTCTGCTTCATGTAATTTTTATCATATTTAAACGATGCTTGTCAGTCTTTTCTCTTCCGTAGACTTTTTTGTTTCATTTGGACTTTTGGACACGATTGTTCTGATTCTGATTCTCCAGTGTCACGATGAGGAACCCGCTGCATTTCACTCACACACAATAAAACAATAAAACACTAACACAGAAAAAGAATAAAACAGTAAAACAGTGTTGAGTGTTTGGGAGTAACGCGCTGTAAAAGTAATGAGTTACTGTGATGCGTTGTTTTTTGCTGTAACGCAGTAACGTGGTCAGATTTTACTGTACAAGTGTGAGGAACACGCGTCACGTTTGCGGTTTTAACCTGGACTCAAGTGGAGAGGTTTTCTGTTTTTTTTCTTCAAATAAATTCGCTAAAATTACGGTGAGATTAACAGCGGAGAAACGACATCGGTACGGTTCTGAGTGTCTGTTTCAGTTCTGGTTTAGACCTGCGTCAGTCCTGGTTTAGTCCTGGTTTAGTCCTGGTTTAGACCTGGTTTAGACCAGGTTTTGACCTTGGTTTAAACCTGGTTTAGTCCTTGTTTAGACCTGCGTCAGTCCTAGTTTAGTCCTAGTTTAGATCCTGTTTAGACCTGGTTTAGTCCTGATTTAATCCTGATTCAGTCCTGGGTTAGACCTGGTTTAGACTTGGTTTAGTCCTAGTTCAGTTCTGGTTTAGACCTGGTTTAGACCTGGTTTAGACCAGGTTTTGACCTTGGTTTAGACCTGGTTTAGTCCTTGTTTAGACCTGCGTCAGTCCTAGTTTAGATCCTGTTTAGACCTGGTTTAGTCCTGATTTAATCCTGATTCAGTCCTGGTTTAGTCCTGATTTAATCCTGATTCAGTCCTGGTTTAGTCCTGGGTTAGACTTGGTTTAGACTTGGTTTAGTCCTGGTTCAGTTCTGGTTTAGACCTGGTTTAGTCCTGGTTTAGACCTGGTTTAGACCAAGTTTTGACCTTGGTTTAGACCTGGTTTAGTCCTTGTTTAGACCTGCGTCAGTCCTAGTTTAGATCCTGTTTAGACCTGGTTTAGTCCTGATTTAATCCTGATTCAGTCTTGGTTTAGTCCTGGGTTAGACCTGGTTTAGTCCTGGTTCAGTTTTGGTTTAGACCTGGTCTAGTCCTGGTTTAGTCCTGGTTTAGACCTGGTTTACTCCTTGGTTAAACCTGGTTTAGTCCTGGTCTTTCATTTTAAACACAGTAATACTGTAATGTAACGAATTACTTTGAAATTACAGTAAAAAGTAAAAAAAAAAAAATACCACATTACAGTTTTGAAGTAACTTGCCCAACACTAACACAGTAACACAGTACTACAGTAACACAGTACTACAGTATCACAGTACTACAGTATCACAGTACTACAGTAACACAGTACTACAGTATCACAGCACTACAGTAATAGAGTAACGCAGTACCTTTAAATACTCTCGCAGCGCGTTCGGCCTTTTTGTGCCTAAACCTGTGGAACATTCTATATCCTAATTGTCTCTTCTTATGATGTTGGAATGACCCGTTTAGTTCTTTTGAAACGACGATTAAAAGTGTTTTTTTCTTTTTACTGAAAATAAAGCTGAACTTGTCACATTTCCAGGCTGTGCGGCTGTTTGATGAGCGGCGCGAGGAACAAAGAGCCTTTTTACGCACGGGCCTTTGTCTGCTGCGTCTCAAAAAACACGCTCCAAATAAACACCACAGCCGCGTTTTGATTTCATGTTTTATTAATTTCACGTACATAAAATAATATCAAAACGTCGGAACCTTTTTTGTTACAACAGTTCACAAAAAGTCACGTGTAAATACAAGACGAGGAAAGCCTAAAGTGGCTCTGGATGCGCTTTTGTGAAACGCTTTGTAGAAACTTACCGTCCGTAAAAAAATAATAAATAATAATATAAAAGATAGAAATAAATTAACTGGGGAAAAAAAAAAAAATCTGCATCCCAATTCACGTGGCTATACATCACAGGTCACAGTTATCTACGCGGTGGAGACTACACTAAACACACATTTCACGCGTGACATGCCATGGACACGTTTGGAAATCAAAAGCACCCGTTAATATCATGTTCAGGAGTAAAAAGCCTTCACGTGACACTACATCAGCTGGTAAATGAGGAATAGTATTTTACTTTCAAGCACAATTTCACGTTTTGTCAGCGAATGTTTCAGGAGAAGCGGTGCCAGATCCAAAAAGGAGCGCGCGTCGCAACCCGGAGGAAAAGGAGGAGGAGGAAGAGGAGGAGGAAGATGGTGTTTTCGTGCTCAGATTATCGACTAAAGAAGCTCATTTGCAAAACTGGCAGTGCGTAAAAGTCCCTGTATTTTTTCTATAAAATATGGCACTGGTGTTTGGGGTTGTGCTCTGGGGTAAGACATCGGTATTTCTTCTTTACGTACGGTTCTTTTCCTTTTACGCACAGTTCTTTGCCTTTTACGCACAGGTGTTTTCCTTTTACGCACAGTTCTTTGCCTTTTACGCACAGATATTTTCCTTTTACGCACAGGTATTTTCCTTTTACGCACAGGTATTTTCCTTTTACGCACAGTTCTTATCCTTTTACGCACAGTTCTTATCCTTTTACGCACGGTTCTTTCCTTTTTACGCACAGTTCTTCGCCTTTTACGCACAGTCCTTTGCCTTTTACGCGCGTGTGCTTGTTTTGTAAACGTAAACTCTGTACATTAGCATGTCACGTACACGTATTAACAATCTCTGACGCAGTGCTTCTGAGGTAAAAACGAAAGAGTCGCCCTTGATCTTAGTCCTCGCAGTCCGTGTTTTTGGATTTACCTGTTGGATGAGCGACTGAAAACTGAACTTTTTTTTTAATTTTATTTATTTTTTTATTTTATATAGCGGAGGCTCCGGGGGAATCAGCGGCTCGGCTCCTTGTAGTTGCCGTTGATTTCCTCGGAGATGGTGACGGCCTCCGCGCCCAGGGGCAGGCGGTCGCTGTACTCCGACCCCACCTCGAACTCCTCCGGGTTGGTTTTGGACGAGGAGCCCGGGATGGACTCCGTGACCACGCTGCCCTCCGCCTCTCCCTCCCGGTCCGCGTCCTCCGGCTCGCCCTCGCCCTCCTCTTCCAACTCGCTGGGGTTAAAATTCTTTTCCGAGCCCACGAAAGACGCGCGGGGGTCAAAGTCCGCGGCCATTTGCTTCTCCATCTGATCCGGGTTCTGCGCCTTCATGATGAGCTTGTAGGTTTTTCCCTGGTATTTATAGAGGAGGTGGCAGCAGGTGGCGCCCAGCAGAGGCACAGTGGCCAGAGCCAAGAGGAAAATACTGACCACCACGATAATGAGCAGAGACGGGATCTTCTTCCTCGTCGTGAAGACCACCTGCACCTGGCAGTCCTGCCCCGCGTAGGTGAGGCACAGGGTGTAGTTGGTGCCCGGCTGTAGATGATGGAAGTGATAGGAGTTAACCCTCTCCTCTATTTTGGACCACTGCACCATGGAGTGTCCGTTTCCCGTGTCCACGCAGAGGTAGAGCATGTCCAGCGTGGTCTTGGAGCCGGAAGACTCAAACACTCGGATCGGCTCTTTGCTGACGGTGTCCAGGTGGTCCCCGGGGCTCAGGTGGAGGTTGGTTTTGGTGTTGAGCTGCAGCGGGTTGAGCTGGACCCTGGCCTCGGTCTCGGACACCTCCAGGGCGATGACCCCGAAGTCGAAGGTGTACTGTTTGAGGTCGTCCAGGGTCCTGTTGAAGGCGTGGTTAGAGATGTACTCGCTGCCGTCTTTCACGCCGCATTTACTGCCCACCGTCGGCTCTTTGGGTTTGGCTCCGGCCCGCTCCACCCCGTGTTTGTCAGAGAAGGCGTCATCGCTCTTTGTCCTCTCTTCAGTTTTGGACCAGTTGATCACGTTGTTCTTGGAGACCTTGGGGGCTATGGGTTTGCTCACCGCGGGCAGTTTGTCTGTAGAATCCGGCTCTGGTTTGGCGATGTGTTTCTGTGAGGCCAGAGCCACTCGGACGCTGCTCTGTGCTCGGCCCACGTCGTTGGTGGCAGAGCAGCTGTAGTTTCCCTCCACTCTTTTGCTCATTCGGGGGATGGTGAGGGTGCCATTTTGAAAAACGTGGAACAGGCTGTTGGTCGCTTTGTCATTGATGGGTTTGTCTGAACTGATTCCGTTTGACGGCAGAGGAAACAGGTAGTTCTGTCCGGCCGTGCTCAGCTCCCACACCAGCTGAGGGAGGGGGATGCCTTGGGCCTCGCAGGTCAACACCACGGTGGCCCCCTCACTGAGCTCGGTGCTCTCCAGGTCGGGCTGGTACGTGATGGTGATGATGGGGGCTTTGCAGCTGAGTTGAGGCATGTTAGTGACCATAGTGCCCTTCAGGTGTGCGGGACTCTCACACACGATATTATTGGGCTCCGGCACTGAGATCTTTGTGGTGGTGATCCAGTCCCTGAGCCACTCCAGGGCGCAGGAGCAGGAGAAAGGGTTGTTGAAGATCTGCAGGTGGGACAGGGAGGACAGCGTGCTGAAGGTGCCCTGGACGATGGTGGTGAACTTGTTGTTGTTGATGCGCAGGGACCTGAGGTCGGCCAGAGTGGAGAAGGCGTCTTTGGGGAGACTCACCATCTCATTATTGTTCATCTTGAGCAGCTGCAGCGCCGTCAGGTTCTGCAGGTCCTCCCAGGGAAAGTTGATGATTTTGTTGTAGCTGATGTCCAGGTTTCTGAGCTGGACCAGAGGGGCCAGCGTGTCCCTCTCGATGGTCACTATCTCATTATGGGCGAGCCACAGGGAGTTGACCTGCGTCACGTTCACGAAGCTCTTACTTTTGAGCAGACTGATTTTGTTGGCGGAGAGGCTCAGGGTGGTGATGTTGGGGGGCAGATCCGCGGGCACCTCCAGAAGCTCTTTGTACGCGCAGTTTGCCAGGTTTTGCACCGCTTTATCCACGCACGTGCAGGGCTGAGGGCAGCACTGCGTCACTGCGACCAGCAGCGCGCACACCGCGAGCGAGCGCACAAAGCGCGCGGGCATTTTCTCCATCTGAAAACAACAGAAATATTTAGTTACGACATAAAATATTTCACAAACAAACAAAAACAGACAAACAAGATCCCAGTGCGCATGACAGTGGAAAATAAATGTTGAAAGATGAAAAAAGATTCTTCTTTCCCTGCACATGTCATGAAGCCGTGCACTGTGTGTGGTTAGAAGTGACGGGATGTTTCTGTTGTTTTGTGGCTCGTCTCCTCAGCCGCGGTTTGTCCTCGTGCACTCGGCTCAGGGCGGGCTCACATCACTGGAGCATCCTACCTGTGAGAGCAACTTCAGATGATCCGTGTCCAGAGGCTCCTGTGAACGGCTTCACTCCAGACTCCACTCGCGCTCCGCGGAAACTCCCTCCCCGAGACTTTGGCTGTGGTCAAGGCGCGGTGAAGCGCACATCTTCCCGCGGAGAGGCTGCAGTCACCGGTGCGCTCTCTCTGACGCTCGCGCTCTGAGTGCCGGAGCCAGTGCGCGTTCACGGCGCAGCGAGCGAGCGCGCGGCCCCTCCCATCCATCTCCTCCAGACGATTAAAGGCGCAGAGGCTCTACGGGATCTATAATTTACGAGACGGTGTTTATAATGTATGAACCGACCCCGAGCTCCTCTTTGACCCGCTTCACTTTGACCTGGTTCAGTTCGCTCCAAAAAAGCTCCAAAAAACTCAAGCAGCAAAACAACATCAATATTTAGTGTTTTTATTAAACTGTAAGTCTAAACTCAGCGCACTGTCCTCGTCCTACAGTTAAACCTACACCTTTCGTCTTTTGTGTCCGGAGAATGAAATTATATTTTATAAATATTTGGTTTATCACACGATCCATTGAGCTGTGCGCACAAAAATACTTTTCACTCACTGACGGAGTTACAGCGCCATCTACAGGTCAGAATAGGCTCCTGTTTATTTTATGAAGGAGCCTAATGTTGCAGTACAGCTCCCTCTGCTGGTGATTTGAGGAAGTGCACTCGGGGAGGTCACGTGCTTCTTAATTATTACACTGAGACAAACTTTATTGATCCACGAGGGAAATGATTTGAACACATGAACATCACAATAAAATATAAAAACAAAGAGGAAAAATATAAATGGTAAAAAATTAAATCTAAATAAGCAGCAAAAAAGAGCAAGAGACAAAACAAAATAAAACAAAAACATTTAATTATATACATGTAAATGTACAAGTTAAAATAAAATAAATAAATAATAAATACAATCTCAGCTTCTTTTTTTCATCTGTTACATAAGGGTGAGTTGTTGTACAGTTGTAGGGAGTATTATCTGTTACATAAGGGTGAGTTGTTGTACAGTTGTAGGGAGTATTATCTGTTACATTGTACAGTTGTAGGGAGTATTATCTGTTACATAAGGATGAGTTGTTGTACAGTTGTAGGGAGTATTATTTGAGTTGTACAGTTGTAGGGAGTATTATCTGTTACATAAGGGTGAGTTGTTGTACAGTTGTAGGGAGTATTATCTGTTACATTGTACAGTTGTAAGGAGTATTATCTGTTACATAAGGATGAGCTGTTGTATAGTTGTAGGGAGTATTATTTGAGTTGTTGTACAGTTGTAGGGAGTATTATCTGTTACATAAGGCGAGTTGTTGTACAGTTGTAGGGAGTATTATCTGTTACATAAGGGTGAGTTGTTGTACAGTTGTAGGGAGTATTATCTGTTACATAAGTGAGTGAGTTGTAGGAGTATTATCTGTTACATAAGGTGAGTTGTTGTACAGTTGTAGGGAGTATTATCTGTTACATAAGAGTGAGTTGTTGTACAGTTGTAGGGAGTATTATCTGTTACATAAGGTGAGTTGTTGTACAGTTGTTGTACAGTTGGAGTAGTAGGAGTATTATCTGTTACATAAGAGTGAGTTGTTGTACAGTTGTAGGGAGTATTATCTGAGTGAGTTGTTGTACAGTTGTAGGGAGTATTATCTGTTACATAAGGGCGAGTTGTTGTACAGTTGTAGGGAGTATTATCTGTATTATGAGGGTGTTCTGTGAGTGTGGGCGGGGCTATGGAGCTAAATATTATAATAAAGCAGAACAGCGACGGCACGTGTCAACTTTATTTTTGTCTTAAAGATTTTATATTTACACTAAACTGACTCTTGTGAACTTTAAGGGCGACTCACATTAGGACTTTAGAACCGTGCCGAGCTCAAGCACCGTCGCGTAGGTTCTATGTTCCACACTCACACTTGCAGAACCGAACCGGGCCACAGCCGAAGACGTCGTCACGCGGCGCTGTTTCTGTTTGTTTACATGTGCTGACGCTTTTAGCAGAGAAAAAAAAAGTCCAGCGGCAGAAATATCGATGACACAGTGAAGCTGATGTTTGTCCTTTTATGACACTCGCTCCTCTGAGTTTACGGAGACAAAAACAGAGCGGCACACACACACACACACACACACACGCACACACACACACACACACACACACACACACACACACACACACACACACGCACACACACACACACACACACACACACACGACACACACACACACACACACACACGACACACACACGCACACACACACACACACACACACACACACACACACACACACACACACACACACACACACACACACACACACACACACACACACACACGCACGCACACACACACACACACACACACACACACACACACACACACACACACACACACACACACACACACACACACACACACACACGCACACACACACACACACACACACACACACACACACACACACACACGCACACACACACACACACACACACGCACACACACACACACACACACACACACACACACACACACACACACACGCACACACACACACACACACACACACACACACACACACACACGCACACACACGCACACACACACACACACACACGACACACACGACACACACACACACACACACACACACACACACACACACGCACACACACACACACACACACACACACACACACACACACACACACACACACGCACACACACACACGCACACACACACACACACACACACACGCACACACACGACACACACACACACGCACGACACACACACACACACACACGCACACACACACACACACACACACACGCACACACACACACACACACACACACACGCACACACACACACACACACGACACACACACACACACACACACACACACACGCACACACACACACACACACGCACGCACACACACACACACACACACACACACACACACGCACACACACACACACACACACACACACACACACACACACGCACACACACACACACACACACACACACACACACACACACACACACACACAGGGCTCGTACGGTAAAGTCACGTGTGTGTGTTGACAACAGATAACGGTATCTGCAGAAATTATTATTCAACTGTTCCACTCTGGAGTGGAACAGTTTGCGTTTTTAAGCCCCAAAACACCGTCACCGTCTAAACGAAAGACACTTCGCATAAAATATTTTGTCATTTTTCCCAGTGGGTCAAGCAGAAGTAAACAACAAGGCCAAAAATTCAAGTTCAATTCAATTCAAGTATAAAATGTATTGAACAGATACATATGTACTCTAGTTTATGAAACTGTTGACCTTTTTTCTGTACCATTTTTGGTTCTAAAGTTCCATATGTTTTAAACAGACCATGTATGAAACATGGAACAAAAATTATTTCCCAAATTTCAAAGACCTGAAAATCATGTAAATAAATGGATGTATTTCATCATATCTTGTGTTATTCCATCTTTGAACTGTTGATGAAGGTACATGATTTTTTTTTTTTTTTTATATTTATTTAAAATGATAAAAATTTGCTTGGAAGGACTGACATATTTTATAGAAATAGTTTCTTTCATTTTTAAGTAATATTAAAGTTTTCAGAAGAAAAAAGTGACAAATGATGTAAAATCCTGCACCTTCTACTTGTTTGTACAATTTTCCCTCCGTTACTTTTCCCTCCGTTACCATGACCTTTCTTAATAAAAAATCTCATGAGTCAAAAAGTAAGAGGTTTTTCAACCTAATCTTGTACCATATGGTAGAAAACTATATGAAGCAAATATTCAAACCAGTTTGTTAAGGATATGTAAGTGAGAACCAAGAGTTATCACTGTTTGGATTTATTGACCAAAAAGTGCTGCATATTTCATTCCCTCCGTTACCGACATGAGTTTTTAAATTTTTTGTCAACAACTTGAAAGAATATCACAGGTTTAACTTGACCCTGTTGGAGTGTAACTCTTTCCTACATTCTGATACTTTACTTATTTCAATAGTCCCTCTAGTTTCTGAATAAGAGACATTTGAATGTCAAAAATCTGCCCCTGTTTCCCTCTGATAACACTGGACCAGACCCATGTGTAAACAGTGTTCTCATGTAAACAGACCCTAAGTCTGAAAAAATAACCTAATAACATAAATGATTGGAAGACCAAACGAACCTCATTGGACTATGTAGCTCCTTTTAACTTTTGTTCACAAACGGTCAAATCCAGAGCTGAAATCATCCAAATGTTTCTAGTGAAGGTGCGTGGAGTTAAAAAACAACAACACTGCAGATCAGATAAGTGCATAATATGGGACCTTGAATGAGTTGATAAGGGAAACATTTCCTCAAAACTCAGACTTTAGACTTTGTTTGTTCTGTTTGACTTCCTCAGGGGGAACCTCCTCTTCCTGTGTGCAGCAGAAAAACTGTGTGAAACGCAGAGGGTCAGGGTCTGCAGTCCTTCTCTGCACAGACTCATGTTAATTATATTATTATTATTAAATGATTCAAAATGTTCTGTTCTCTTCCTTTCAGGGTTTTTCTGATGCTTGTGCTGCTTCCACACATGGATTTTCATATTAAAGTATTTTCAGCCGTCACTTGTTGCCAGGCACAGTCAAAGTCAAAGAAGTTTGGCGGGAACTCGAACACAAAATAAATGTCCATGAAACTGTTGCTTCAGCCAATCAGATTTTGAGTTGTTGTCGCCGGGACCTTCAGTAGCGACGACAACGACACCGGATTCAGACTCGTGATTGGACAGAGACAAAACAGCAAACTGCATCTGCAGCAGCGACGCCAAAACTAATGATTATTACTGTGTATAAATGACATATGATACCAGAGTGAACCAGGACTAAACCAGGACTAAACCAGGACTAAACCAGGACTAAACCAGGACTAAACCAGGACTAAACCAGGACTAAACCAGGACTAAACCAGGACTAAACCAGGACTAAACCAGGACTAAACCAGGTCTAAACCAGACTAAACCAGGACTAACCAGGACTAAACCAGGACTAAACCAGGACTAAACCAGGTCTAAACCAGGACTAAACCAGGACTAAACCAGGACTAAACCAGGACTAAACCAG